GTTACTAGTAGCTTCTTCCTTTAAGGTAGACACCAAATCTTTAAGGTAGCTATCCCTTCCTTGTTTACCTCTACGGGCCACGGCCTACCGCCTTAAAAAAGGGCCGTTGATGGACACTTTGAGAAACAACTCGAAAAAACAAGATGGAACGAATAGGCCGAGGTTCACCGTCAACTCTGCCGAAGATATTTCGTGAAGGCAGAATTTGCAGTACAAAATCCGAACTCTTTATACTCTTTGGGCAGTTCAAACGTTTCAACATAGACCTCCATGCAGCGTTTTTGTTCTTTCCGCCTTCGAACGGCGAAAGGTTTTAATGAAGACCCCACGAACGGTATGTGAACGGTATGTGGAACTCATTGGCGCCGTTTGGCAAAGACTTCTACTTTGCAAAGAACATTAATTTGTTTGTTTGTTATATGATTTCAAGGACCTCAGGATCCAGGATTGGAGGTTCACGTCAACGTTAAAATACGTTATGTACTACACTTATTGGAGACGGGAACAATACAGAGAAGGAGTGAACTCGTGCAACTTGTTCCTTTGGACTTAGCAACAGTGCACCGCATAAGCAAGCGCACCAACACACGCTTCCTAGTGCTATGCAGACCTTGCCTTAGTTTCCGCCAAGGGGAATTGTTTATTTTTCTTAACTTTTGGAACTCTTGGATCCTCCAAACTCTCTTTAACCTCATCGCGTCTTTGTGCGATGCCCTTATGACTCTCAACCCATTCTTTGACCCTTTTCTCCATGAGGTCCTATACGTTGCAGAATCGTTGACCTAGACAGTTCAAGACCACCTTTTGCACTTGTTGGCTGCTAGGTGTGTGATGAGTCTCAACTCCACATGGTCAGACTGCTGTGATTCACTTCATACACTCAGATGCGTTCTTAAGATGCGTTCTTTTGGGACTTGAACTGGAGATCCATGAAGAATCAGCAACCTTGAGCGAAAAGGCATGTGGCGAGTTGGTTTTCCTTGTAACTGTTTGTCATGACGAAACAAACACCAAGTGTCCAGTCACTATATTCATTCACACCACCTCTTGGTCTTTGTGCTAGATCACTCGCCCCTTGCTTCTTACCTTACAAACAGGACCTACGTGCTGGTTTCTGGCTTTCGTTTCACCCTTCTCAGTTTTGTTGGTTGCTTTGTTTCTCACATCTTCTGTTTGGTCATCGAAACTGTTTGTCACATTCGACAAGCTTCGGTTGAGTGGCATGACCGTCCGGCCGAACTAGATTGGAGAAGAAACGAGGTGAACACTGCCGTTGTGATACCTGAGACCACATGTCTTGAATTCAGGTGATGACCTGCCCAAGTGGTTGTGGGAAACCTGGATCTTTCGGACGAAAAAAGCAGCTCACCACTTTGAGCACGGCAAGGCTCTGATGCATCGGCAGCCTACGTGGGAAGCTACTGTGATGAGACAGTGTGGTGCTGAGGGCGAATGGGGACGAGGAGGGACGAGGAAGGATGAGTAGGTTGGAGGCCATTGCTATCAGGTTGGAGGAAGAATGAGCAAGAGACGGTGAGAACAGAAAGAACGCAGGAAGACATGTGCATGCCGCTCCGCGACCAATTCCGCCTGAATGCTCGCAGCAGCTCACTGGGACCTGGTAGGAGCCCCTAGTAGCATCAGTAGTAAGGCCAGGAAGGACGCCACAAGATAGCATGCTCAAGTCAATTCTTCAGTGGACGTGGGTAAGGACTGAGCATGTCCTGATATCTTCGGTTTGGACTTCCCAAACATGTAAATTAATGGATGCCCAAATCAACAACCCATGACTGAACACTATGTCATTCTGATACATGTAGCCTTTGGTCGGTTTGTCTTGAAGACCAGCCGCTTTCAAGACCGTAAATAAGAACCGGATTGCTGAAGCACAGCGGTTAGAAGATTGCTTGTTTGGACCATAGAGTCCGCTGTGCGGCTGTGCAGTCTTCAGAACAGTTCCCAGGAGGCCATCGCTCCTAGGTTGGAGGTTATTTTCCTTACTACTAGGAGCAAGGGGATGCTACTAGGGGCTCCTGGCTCTACTACTAGGAGCAAGGATGCTACTAGGGGCTCCTGGCTCTACTACTAGGAGCAAGGATGCTACTAGGGGCTCCTGGCCGTACTACTAGGAGCAAGGACGCTACTAGGGGCTCCTGTAGGAGCAAGAAGCTGCTTAGGAACAAGGACGCTACTAGGGGCGGCAAGCGGTGCAGCCGGTGCAGCCGGCACGATATGAGAATTGGCACCCTGATCTCGGCAACTTGTTTTTGTGTTGGGCAAATATCACGTTCCACCAAATTCTGTCTATATTTAGCCTTCAAAGCTAAGTTGGATGTTGGAGGTGTTCCCAGCAATGTTCTTTGCATCACTGATAGCCCACAGCCTCCATCTTCTTGTCGCCTTTTCAACGAAGTTCCCGAGATTCGATGCAAAAGGATTCTGCAGATTCCTATCAGTGTTGTGTCGCGTGGGATCTATTGAGTCCAGGTCAAAAATGGAGAGATGACGGCTGTCACAGGGGAAAGGCAAGATGACGGCAAGAGTTTGATTTTTTGTTTTCTGCGTTGAAAGAACCCGCCAAGATCGCATGGCGGTATTTGTGCAGGACAACTCATGGCAGCTTCACCAAGCCCAGTACCTTGCCCACAGACGACTATGAGGCGAAGTAGCAAATGGAAAGTGTTGAACCATGTGGAAGAACCAGCAAGAAACACAGCAAATTGCTAGCTGCTAGAAATACAGCAAACTTGAGACCAGACTTGGACTCTGTTTCTTTTTTCTGCAGGTAATGTTGGATGCAGAAGGCCAAACGGGACAGCAACTTGGGAGCGACCAGACGGACTCTTGCTCAGGAATGACGCCTGGAAAGCACTACTCATTCTGCGCTCGTCTTATTTTTCGTCTGAACAGTCACTGCTTTCCCCGTTTCGGTCGTTTTATTC